TATTGATTTCAAAGAGGAAGGAAGAGGGAGAGAGACATAGAAACATCAATGATGAGAGAGAATCATTGATTGGCTGCCTCCTGCATGCCTCCCGGGGGCCAAGCCCGCAGCCCAGGCATGTCCCCTTGATCAAAATCAAACCTGGGACCCTTCAGTCTGCAGGCTGATGCTCTATCCACTGAGCCAAACCAGCAAGGGCCACTTATTCAAATTTTAGTAACCATTTTAAGAGATAACTATATGAGACAAAATACAAGGTAAAACGTAGAAGTAAAGCATTTCCTGGTCCAGTGGGCAGAGTGCTGGCCTCTGGGTCTTTCCCTCCCTGTGCTGTGTGACCTCAGCTAAATCACTTCAGTAACTTTCAGCTCTGGGCCTTAATCTCCTATTCAGTTTCCTTATCTGAAAATGAGTTACTGTGACGAGGATGAGGCAAAATCAGAGAGATCACAAAAATGGTTTTAATAGTATGAAATATCCAGAAGGTCAGAATATTTCTGTGATAATTAGAAAAATGTATCTATGAGAGATCACCAATCTGAAGAGGTAAGTTAAAAACTTCAGGGGTGGATATTTGACCTGAGTTATCTGGGCTTACTGCTGCAAGTTCTTGTTTTACGTCTGTAGACATAGCCCTAGAGTTCAGTAAAATGTGAAAAAGTTAACTAGGTACTCTATTTTATGAGATTCTATTAAATTTTTCACTGATTTATTACATGCTTATTATAGAAGCTTCCCACAGCTCAGAATGGTATAAAGAAAAATTACTTTCCCTCCACTGCTCTTGCTTTTTCCTGCCCCCGCCCCACATACATCCATATACACCCACGCATGCATGCACGCACACACACACATACACACACACACGACTCCCAATTTCCACTCCCTAGAGATAATCTTTATGGATAGTTTCTTGTAAAATCAAATACTTCAAAAATGGTAAACACTGGAAGACAATTTATAGATTTAAAAATATATTAAATTAAAGAAAAATCAAGAATTATCTCATGCCACTCAGGGTTGGTGAAATCTCAAATTGCCTTGGAACAACAAACTGACCAATTGCTGGATGAGGGAACTGAAATCATAACCCTGTAAACAAACTGCCCAAAGTGTGCGGCTAGAGACGGCCTACAGCAAAGGTGGAATAAAGCCTTCAAGGAAAAGCATCTCCTCCTCACGGTTAACAACCCGATGACGTTCTTCAACATGTTTTAATGATTATCATACCTTCCTCTTCACAAAGGATTGATTTATTATGGCTTAAATTTAAAGAATACTGGTTTCCCAGTTTTGAATCAGGCTTAGATTACAGAACACATAAAATCAATGACTTTGTTCTAGGCAAGAAAAAACACAGTGTTCATTTAAGTGCAAAAGAAACAGTCCTGGGGAAAAATTTATGTAGTTCATGCTAACTGTTCCCACCACCAGTTTGCCCCCTCTGCTCCTTCCCTCATCCCTGTCATCAGCACCACCACAATGAACACTTCTATGGCACCTTAAAATTCACAAGCAACTTCACATACTATTTATTTTAATCCTCAAAACAATTTTGTCAGGAAGAATAAACAATCTTAGCTTCTTAATTAGCAGATTAAAAAAACCCTGAAGCTCAGAGCAGAGAAGTGATTGGCCCAAGACCATTCATCCTGTAAAGGTATACTTGCCCAGGTACACTGATGACTTCTAAGTGTCTATATCTCCAGCTCAGATCTCTCCTCTCAAGCTCCAGGACCCACAATCAACATTCAACATCTGCACTTTGGAGTTCCAAATGTGGTTAAACTCAGTTTCCAGACTAAGTCCATAATATTCTCCCATAAACTTTTTTCTCACTCAAAGGTTTTCTTTCTCAGTGACTGACACCATTATCCTTTCAGTTGTTCAAGTCAAAAGCCTAAGTATCCCCCCTAACTACCCCGTCTGCTCTCAATATATATATAGACTTCATCATCACATCCTATAGATTTTGCCTTCTGAAGATTCCTCAAATCTTTCCATTTCTTATTGTCTTCACCATGAACACTGTCCAATACCTCAGCATCTCACATTGAAATCATTTCCATGTTACACCCCGCCTTTCCCTCACCACCCCTACTCTACTCATATTCCATGCTGCAGCCAGAGTGATTCCCCTGCTTAAAATCTTTGGTTGGCTTCCCAGTGCTCTTCAGATGAAGAAAAGAATCCTTAGTGTGGACTATGAGGGCCAGTATGATCTCATCCCTGTGAACTGGCAAGATAAATGAGCTCTTTCCATAGTTTCAGAATACCATGATATCATTTAAAAATGAATATTTAAGCTTCTGTTTTTTAATAATGCACATTTATTAATTGTAGAATGAAGCTTGCACATGTAGCTATTTTTAAGCATTAATAACATATGACCACATATAAATCTTATTGTCTTCCTGAATTTCTTTCTTAAATATAACCAAATTCATTCTATTATACAATATGCATTAATATACATGCAAAAATCCTGTATAATAAAAGGCTAATATGCAAATCAACGGAACGACTGGTCACTATGATGTGCGCTGACCACTAGGGGGCAGATGCTCAACACAGGAGCTGCCCCCTGGTGGTCAGTGTGCTCCCACAGGGGGACCACTGCTCAGCCAGAAGCCAGGCTCAGGGCCGGTGAGTGCAGCAGCAGTAGCGGGAGCCTCTCCCGCCTCTGCTGCAGCTCTAAGGATGTTTGACTGTCGGACATCCCCCAAGGGCTCCCAAACTGCTAGAGGGCACAGGCCAGGCTGAGGGACCGCCCCCCCCCAGTGCATGAATTTCATGCACTGGGCCTCTAGTATAGTATATATAATGAAATATTAGGGTGGGGCAAAAATAGATTTACAGTTGTGAGTATGTGAAACACAGTTCATTCTCATGTTATTATTTTATTGTATTATATTATTTCCATACAAACAACTGTAAACCTACTTATATAATACTAGAGGCCCGTATGATACTTATATAATACTAGAGGCCCGGTGCACGAAATTCATGCACAGGGTGGGGGGGTCCCCTCAGCCCAGCCTGCACCCTCTCCAATCTGGGGGATCAGGCCTAAACCGGCAGTCAGACATCCCTCTCATAATCCTGAACAGCTGGCTCCTAATCACTCACCTGCCTGCCTGCCTGGTCGCCTCTAACTGCTCCCCCTGCTGGCCTGGTCACCCCCAACTGCCCCCCCACTGGCCTAGTTGCCTCTCACTGCCCCCCTTGCCAGCCTAATTGCCCCCAACTGCCCCCCCCCCGCTGGCTTGGTCTCCCCTCCCAACT